TGAATATGTATTAGCTTGAAATTATAACAAAAAATCAATTACAATATTTATAGTTATGACAAATAATAATATATATTTTATATATTAAAGATACACATTTTTTTCTTTATAAATATAAGTAATTGATTAATTAAAGAGATATCAAAACTTGAAAAAAGCTTAATTAAAAAGTTTGGGCCGATAAATTTATAAAAATTATGAAAGGTTGAATAATATAATTTATGTTGGATATGATGAATAATAATATATATTTTATGTGCTAAAGATAAACATTTTTATTTTTATTAAAAATTAGTCTATTAAATAAAAGAAAAAAACCAATTTTTAATAATTAAGGAAAAAATCAAATTTCCAATAAATAGAAAAAAATGGCCCAACCCCTTTTTATCTTTTTTCCTCACCCCACCGCCTCAAAAACTCCACCCCTAATTTGCTCCTCGCAAGCGAGGATTCACTCCTTTAGGTCATCACGACGATGGCTGTAAGCATCCCTAAAATCTTTCGTTAATCTAGGTTTTGATTTTTATTTGATTCATATTTTAATTTAGTCATCATATCACATGCATTTGGTATATTTGCGATTTTGGTCTGTATTTTGAACGGTTCTGTGTTTCAATTTTGTTTTTTGTTTTGTAATTTTGAGGATTAGATTATATCATGAATCGTGAACGGGGCGTGGGAGTTCCTGGATTTGGTATGAAAGGCCTATAAAATTTGGAATCTCTTTGAAGATGAGAGTAACAAGGAAACATTCTTTGTGGCATGTTTTGTTGTGTTTTTGGGTTTATCGAAATGGGAATCTAAATATTTGCTGTCTATATAGTTTGTGTATTTAGAAACATCTTTTTGAAGATTTCAATTGGTGTGATTGATTTACTTGAAAATTTTTTATTAGATGAGACGGCGAAGTGGGAGAAGATAACATATTTAGGCATTGCTACATGCACTGTGCTTGCCATTTACAACCTCTCAGAGGATCATCCCCACTATGAAGAGCCTCAAGTGAGCTGTATTTTTATTTTTCTCTTTTCCTTAAGATTTTTTCTTGAATTTACAACGGTTATTTTTGGTTTTTGTAGAGGTTTCTACTATATGCATTATGACAAACATCTGAATGCCGTCTACTTATATGCAGCCCTAACCATATTTGCACATTCACAACAAGGAGTTCCCATGAGGTATGTTTTCACAGTTAAATAAATTTATTTGTGTCTAGAGCCCTAGAAGAAGAGATGTCTATTTTGTTGTTACATTGATTCTGTGTTTGATGGCACTTTTTGTCTTGACATTCAAACTTTGGGTTGCCTTATTGATTGCTTGTTGAGTTCAGCATTATGTCTTTGCTTTAAGTTCTTTGGTTATCCTAAATAACTAGCAGTATTGATTTATCTTTTCTCTGCTTCTTGTGCCTTGTTGAGTTCTTTTGCATTATGTATTGAATAGATTTCTATTGCTCTGTTGTTTCTTTCTCACTATTTGTAATATACATATCTCAGGTTGCAGAGAAGCCTAGCATTGCTCTCTCAATTGCTACCGTACTCTCTCGTGGCAAAGTACTTGCCCTTTGCTCTCTTTCGTTGCTTTCTAGATAATTAATTCAACTTCTTTTAATACTACAATGTTTATAGCTCAAGAAAACAAGTGAATTTGGTGTATCAAGCTTATTACGTTTCAGTTGAATGAGAGTTATTGATAAAACATATCTTTGATAATAAGTCTTTTTATAATTAGTTTTGTGCAAAACTTAGAGTAAGCAATTTTGGATTGACAGATTGATTATTTTTCATATGCCATATTTTAGACCCATTGGTTAGCTTCTATTACTTTAATCCAATTGTCTGCAACTTTAGTTAAAATTTGTATGAAATAAGCTCTTGGTCCTATCTAATGCTAGTTTCATGTTACTTCACTTCTTAATGGATTTTTTTTAGGCTCTACTATAATCTCTGCATCTCAAGAGAGAAAAAGATACAAGACATGTATGAGTTTTGTTATTGTGGGAACTTATGACTTGTAAGATATTGCAGAAATTGATGTTTGGTATTGATATCTGAGTATTTGAGAATGAACAATTGAACTGTGTTTATTTGTAACAGCAGCAACAGACAGTTTGGTCAGATTTATTTTTTCAAAGACCGGAAGGCTTCGAGAGGGATTACGAAAGCTTCGAAGAAAGTTAAAGTATCAAATGATAATGTTCTAAATGATAAGGATCTTTCCCACTTAATGTGGTGGCAAGAGGTAAAATTCTAATTATTGTATCTTGCCAAATTGGTTCTGCTTCTTTTGTTAAAGAATTTGATTTTGAAATGTAGTTGCTTCAGTAATATCTTATTGGTATATTTCATAGGATGTTGTCTTGACTCTTGAGTGTAGTGAAAACGTGATCAAAATTGCTGATTGCTTTGTTGTGTTTCAGCTGATGACCTTTATGTGATGTAACGGCAATTATTGCATACACATTAATATGGTCTTTCCGTTACACTACCATTTCGTTTCCTTAACCAAACAGTGAATGAAATCAAATTTCAGTATTCTTCATTGCAGTCATTGACTTCTTCCTTACATTTATGATTCTGTTAAATTCTATGAGAATTAAACCAAACATGGGCTTACGTTTCTTTTTGTCTGTTATTGTAGAGGCTACAAACTTGCCGGAAACCTTCTACTCTTCATCTGGTTAAAAGGCTCAAATATTCCAATTTGCTCGGCTTGGATGTTAGCTTGAAAAATGGGAGGTCAGCTCTTATGATGTGTGAATTAACTATGAATATACCTCATGTATCTTTTCTTCTTTGAGATAAATAATTTCACCTCCACGAACTTCTATGAAATATTTGTTGCTTTTGTGGAGGAGGTGAAAGACTTTGCATTTTGAACTGAAAAAGTATTAGCCATAATGCAGTCTTAATCTACTCGTTAGGTTTGAATTCCATGCTAATGCTGTATTTCTTGGATCTCAAGCGCATTATAAAGTCACATTGGTCGTTGGGCATGTTTTCAGGTCATTCTTTTGTTCTAATTATGTTGACTAAAAAGTGTATATATATTTATATTGATGTTCTAGATTTATCCTGCCATTATATTTCTTGTGCCAGGTCCGCAGTTGCTTACACTTGTGATTTTCTAGTAGTGCTTGCTCCTACAAAGTGGTGAGTATTACTGTTTGGTCTGTAGATATTTCTATGTCGAAACCTTGGAGGCTTGGAAGAAGACTTTTCTCGCCGCTGACCAGAAGCTTTTCCAGAGCTGTTTTCGCTGGGGAATTATTTACAGATTGCAGGCTGCTGCTTCCTCCTTTTCTTCTTGTTTTGGTTGCGTGTATATGCAGTTGGCTTTTGTAAACCAAAAGTCTGGCATTGTTTTTGTGTTGCTGGTCATTTTGTATGGTCCTCTTTGAGGCTTGCTTGGTGGCTTTTTGGAATGTAAATCCATGCCACCTTTTTTGTTTTCTTCGGCTTGGTTGCTTGGGCTTGTCCAAGGGACTTGACTTTGTAGGGGTTGGGACTTATTTTTTTATTCTTTATACAATTACCTTTTACCCAAAAAATATACAAGAAAGGTTATGGAAATGGAGAAACAAAGTATATTGAGATGACAAAAAATATTTGTCACGCCTATATTATTTTGACAATAAAAAATTTGTCATGTAAAAATATTTGTATTAAAAATTATTTGTCATGTTATTAAATTTTTTACAAAATTATTTTTCTCACTATATAATTTTTGATAAATAATATTATCATATAAACAAACTTGTGACAAAGTAAATATTGTCACAATAAAGTCAATGACAAATGAATTTTGGTCACTATTAAAATTATGAGAAGATAAATTAGTCATTATTCACAATTTTTGATAAAATCAATTTCGTCATCATATATTATTTTCTCACTATAAAGCTTATCATTTGGTATTTAAACGTAAATCAATTATGACAAAATATTATTTATAGTGATAAAAATTGTCTTCTATTGTTACAAATAATTTATCACAATAAACTAGTTTAAAGTGACAAATTATTATTATCACAATAAATAATTAAGCTATAGTGACCAAATGTTCTTTTGTCACCATACACATAAGAGTACGAGCTTAATGTGACTAACTTGGTGACCAATATAATTCCTCACATTAAAAAAATAGTCATAATTTTGATATTTATAGTGACAAATTATTTTATTGTGAGAAGCCTAAATTCTTGTAATTATTCCAGAGTGTTGTGGTCATGGCATGATTTCTGAATTACTATGATTATGGCTTGATTTGTGCAATTACGGATTATCTGTTTTCTTGATTTCATGTAATTATGTATCCATTGTATTACCATACTTACATTTGTATCTTTGAATAAATAGGATAACGTCCATTACATAAAATGATATACCGAAAACTTCTTTACATTTTCTTCTTTCTTTTAGGCATACCTTGTCAGCCTTTGTCTCTTCTCTTGCCACTCTTTTCCAACTCTGACAGCTTGCTGCTTCACAGGTAATTATGCTTTATTAGAATGTTGTATAAGACAATGTTGTTGTTTGAGTATATTCTCGAGTTAGTAGAAATAAAATAAAGGGACAGGTATTTGAGTCCTTGCAAAGTCAATCATTTTCATTGCATAAAAACGCACTTTTGTTTGTTTAATAAACATGAATATGATGAGTGCGATTACGTCCATACCCTGTAAAAAAATGTTGTTTTAAAATTGTTTAAAGCCTACAAAAGTTTTTTATAATGGGGAATCACCTGATACATCACCTTCAAGTCAACTTAAAATTGCTATAATAAAAAGTATCAATCTTCAATGCCCTTAGAAAATCTTGTTAACATTCTTTATACACTATCTTCTTCAAGAATTTTTAAATTATAGAAGTGACTTGTGCTCGAAGTACTAGATCATTCATTACTTTCCCAGTCAAAATTTGCTTCTGACTCTTTTTTTATATAATTTCTAAAGATGGATGATTTATGTGTATAAATGTAAAAAAATAGCACTAGCACCTCACGAACAGAAGCAGGAAAAGTATGGCAAAAGAAGTGAAGCTCTTGGGGTTTTGGGCTAGCCCATATGTGTATAGAGTAGAATGGGCACTGAAGCTAAAGGGTGTTGATTATGATTACTTAGAAGAAGATATCTTTAACAAGAGCACGAGGCTCATGGAGCTGAACCCAGTCCACAAGAAGGTTCCTGTGCTTGTTCATGAGAAGAAAGTAACCCCTGAGTTGTATGTTATTCTCGAGTATATCGATGAGACTTGGGAACAAAATCCACTGCTGCCTAGAGATCTTCATGAAAGAGCCATGGCACGTTTCTCGGCCAAATATGGAGATGAAAAGGTAAATATTTATGTTATTCTGTTTTTCTCTGTTTTACTGCATTTTTGCTCACTATTTTGTTGTACTTTGTGCATTGGTGTAGCTTTTGAGAGCTTCATGGAAGGCAATGTGGTCGAAAGGAGAGGAAAAAGCGAAGGCAATTGAAGAATCAATAGAAGCCTTGGAAAAGATTGAGGGAGAGCTCAAAGAAAATAACTACTTTGAAGGAGAGGGGATCGGGTATCTGGATCTTGCATTTGGGTGGATCGCTTACTGGCTACCCGTTTGGGAAAAAGTTGGGTCAATGCAGCTTATGGAGGAAGAGAAATTTCCAGCCATTACATGTTGGATCAGCAAGTTTCTCAGCCACCCAGTGATTAAAGACAAATTACCACGGAAGGACGAGATGGTCGTTTACTTTGAGGAGCGCAGGGAAGCCATTTATAACCGCTGTTACCCAAAGCAAAAGGAGTATTAATTAATGTTTTCAGTCAATGAAATGGATTATATAAAGCTCGAAATGCAATAAAATTTCCGTTTGGAAATTGGAACTTGTATTATTATTGGAAGAAAGGGATGTTATACTTGTATAATTATTTAAATTTCAAGAAAGAAAATGTTGCATTAAACTTTCATGAGATCTTCCCTGCAGCTTAGTGATCTTACATCAACAGCGCACCACCAACTTCTATTGCCGTTTGAAATTTTTAATTCAATTAACTATTGTACTAATAAATTTGTTGACGCTTGATTTTGAACGCCAATGACTCGCACGTGCAAAGTGCTAAGAGGGTCTTAGAAATTACACGTCGTGGATTCATGAGATTTAAATATGGAGCTGAGATTATATATGTTGCAGAAAACATGAATAATAGGCTAACAAGAGAGGTTTTTATAGTTGTTCGAATGCTTAAACAAGCGACTCCTACATCGTTATTTTATTAATCTCTAACTATTTCTATGATATTACCTGTAAGGCATATAAAAATGAAGAAATATAGTGTTTACAGAGAGAAAGAATTGAGCTCAAATATATGCCTTGCTCTCATATGCCCAGCCTCCTTTTCGGGAAGAGGAGTGCCAATTTACACACCTTTGAGATTAGTGTAATGAGTGTTTTGCAAGTTGTCTTAACACATGGAAAGCTCTCGTCCATTCATCTCTTGAAATGAGATAGGGCTGGTATGAATATCTTTGAGCAGATATGGGCTTGGCAGCTAGTACAAAAAGACATTTATTGAGCTGACATAAGCGTGACTTTTTAGGCATAACAGAAGCCCCCCAGTTTTTGGAATGCGTAATCGCGCTTCAGAAACTAAGGTTTTTGATCTAAATGGTTGTTGCACTATAGGCTGCAGTTTCGAACTGAACAGCTTGAACTATTCCTAGCGCAATCGAGTGCTGAGAGCTGAGACTGCGATCAGAGAGCTTGGAGTTGATCACGATTTGATAAGAGCTCGACCTGAGAGATCGACTTGAGAGCATAACAAGCTCGACCTGAAAGCATAACAAGCTCGACCTGAAAGCATAACGAGCTCGACCTGAGAGCTTAATGAGCTCTACCTGAGAGCATAACAAGCTCGGCCTGAGAGCTTAACTAGCTCTACCTGAGAGCATAACGAGCTATACTTGAGAGCTTAACAAGCTCAGCTTGAGATCGACCTGAGAGCATAACGAGCTTGACCTGAGAGTACAACGAGCTCGACCTGAGAGCATAACGAGCTCAATCTGAGAGCATAACGAGCTCTACCTGAGAGCTTAACGAGCTCTATCTAAGAGATTGACCTGAGAGCATAACGAGCTCGACCAAAGAGCTTAACGAGCTCAGCCTAAGATCGACCTAAGAGCACAACGAGCTTCACTTGAGAGCTTAACGAGCTCTACCTGAGATTGACCTGGGAACAAGAGATCAGCGATCTGAACATGCGATTTGAAGCTAAAGATCAGGACGACCTGAGCGTGCGATCTGGCCACAAGATCGGAGAACTCTGACGCGTGCGATATGTGATCTGGCCACTCAATCGGAGAACTCTGACGCGTGCGATTTGCGATCTGGCCACGCAATCAGAGAACTCTGACTCGTGTGATCTGCGATTTGGCCACGCGATTGGAGAATTCTGATGCAGGTTTGAGAACTCTGATGCAGGTTCGAGACCTGCATGGGCCACCAAACTGTTGACGCTTGATTTTGGATGCCAATGACTTGCACGTGCAAAGTACTAAGAGGGTCTTAGAAATTACACGTCATGGATTCATGAGATTTGAATATGGAGCTGAGATTATATATGTTGCAGAAAACATAAATAATAGGCTAATAAGAGAGGTTTTTATAGTGGTTCGGATGCTTAAACAAGTGACTCCTACATCCACTGTTATTTTATTGATCTCTAACTATTTCTATGATATTGCTTGTAAGGCATACAAAGATGAAGAAATACAGTGTTTACAGAGAGAAAGAATTTAGCTCAAATCTATGTCTAGCTCTCATATGCCCAGCCTCCTTTTCAGGAAGAGAAGTGTCAATTTATACACATTTGAGATTAGTGTAATGTGTGTTTTGCAAATTGCCTTGACACATGGAAGGCTCTCGTCCATTCATCTCTTGAAATAAGATAGGCTGTTATGAATATCTTTGAGCAGATATGGGCTTGGCAGCTAGTACAAAAAAAACATTTATTGAGCTGACATAAGCGTGACTTTTTAGGCATAACAAAATTGATTAAGAGAAATAAAAGAAAAATATAAAATATATTATTGATATGGTTTTGTGAGATGTGAATGCTAACGACATGGAAAGTTCAGTAGAGTGTGGAAGTCTCATGTTAGAAAAGTTTAAGAATTTATGTAGCTGGTTTAGCTTAAATTTATAGTTATATATACCAAAGAGGTCGAGCTCAAACAAAATAATGATGAGTTAGGACTAGACCTGGCAAAACGGGTGGGTGGGCCGGGTACGGGCCGGGTTAAACGGGCACGGGTCAAACAGATACGGGCCCTTATACGAGTCCAAAATATTGGACCCGTGCCTACCCTATACGGGTACGGGTGGACCCGCGGGTGAACCCGTTTTTTCTCTCTCCAGATTTTAGTTTTTGTTTCACCCTAACAGTTTTTTATTATGACAATTACACCCCCAAAATTCCTGCATTTTTTATTTTTTACATTTAAACCCCCTAAATCGACTACTCTAAATTCAATTCAATTAAGAATATAAACAAATAGGAACCAAAATAAACAAATAACACATAAGCAAACAATAACATATAATACAAAACTACAAATACCAACCAAAATAAACAAATACAAAATCACTAATACACAATTACACATAAACAAACAAAATAAGTTAATAAACTATAAATATCAACTAAAATAAACAAATACATAATCCAATATTCAACGAAAAACATTTTTAGGACAGTAAATGTTCATCCCACAGTGGGCGTGATAGAGTCTCTTGATTCCACAGTCTCGAGATTAGTTAATGGCACATCAAGATCATCATCTGAATCATCTTTCACCTCATCATCTACAAAACAATGATCAACTACAAATATTAATAAATGTAAATAATAAAATATAAGCAATATTATGTTAATGTGTTACCTTCAAACTCATATCCATATAGCCAAGTTCGAGTGCATATCAAAGATTCTGCATTTTTTGGTCGAAGTGAACTTCGATATTTGTTGAGCACTTTACTACCAATACCAATACTTCGATATTTGTTGATTAACTATATATTAATTGATAATGGATTAACTATATATTAAATTATTAATTGATAATGGATTAACTATATATTAATTGATGATTAAATATATATCAATTTTTATTATGATTATATATATTAACTATCCATTATGATTATATATATCAACTTCTGTTTTCTACAGTACATGTCTTCATGTTTACCTTCATAATCTGAGAACAGCACCTTTGCTAATACTTTTATTAATTTATATAAATTCTATTAATTCAAAGTCTTCATCAGAGATATAGTCCATGCATGCCATTATAAGAATTAAGAAACAAGCATAGTATAAAGGCCTTAGAGATTTTATTCTTGAGAAATGTAATTTCCATAAGTAGCCGAAAATGAAAGATTTTACATAACTATGACTAGCTTTAGCTTAACAAAACTTCCAACTCCAATCTACAACATCAACTTCAAGATTAATAATTACATAAAAAACTACTAAATCAGCTAGCTTTGAGAAAGCATTCTGGATGTTGCTGCTATGAGATTTTTCAAAACCCTATAAAAACAAACAATGAGAGTAGATATTCAGCCTGTCTTAATACTAGCTGGAAGAAGTAACTAACTACTATTGCTAGGCCTAAAACTCATGGATTTCCATCTGAAACCTGAAGTTTCCAAACAATTACTTCAACCATGTGAAACAAGGGGAAAGCAGTAACATCTAGTTCTGCCAATTCAAATGGGGCATCAACTTCTTCAGACACGAGCAAAAGACAATATTATGATCAATGAAAAAGCACATTTGGAAAAAGAAGAGGGAAAGAAATAACACCAGGATGTATATCACAGAAAAAGGCACTTGGATTAAACCATCAACCAAATGAGGCACAAGGCAGCACTTATTACCACAGTCTCTATTATTAAGTATCCTATAACCAATAATGAAGTTGCATGGAAACATATAGCATGGAAGAGGAAAACAATGAATTGTATTTGCTATCCTATCCCCATAAAAACCTTCTTTTGATTTTAAACTATCAGAATTCAGATTGAAACAATGATTTGTGTTTGACGATGATAATAGAATGTTTCAGAACGCATAAGTTCAATAAGATTATAAATTCAAGAAAACAGAGGACAAAAAATATAAATGATAATAATAATAATAATATAAATCTCTTTTATTCTACCATATAATAACAATAAATAGTATAGCAAATATATATAACAACAATGAATGAATACAAACTCAAGAAATGACTCTCTCAAATCTCAAAACAAACATCCCTCCATCGATCCACCCATTATAGATAATATAATATAATATAACAACTAAGTGTCCATGCCTTTTCATCTTGAGATTTCAAAGCCCAGAACCCATGGTAGCAGAATGCCACTATCACCACAATTAATAAAACAGAAAACGATAACACTACAGCATAACCAGAAATGATACATCTAGTTTAGCTCTAAAACTCAGAAAACTGAACATTTTTACACAAGTACATACTACAGTCTACTGTCTACATACCCTTAATGATGGAGTCTTGCGACGGAGAGAGACAGGAGATGACGAGCTTGCGACGCTCGACGACGACAGAGAGAGGAGAATCAGAGATGACGAGCCGACGAGGATGAATGACGGCGATCGGCGACGTGAACACGGAACAGAGGAGATGAGAGATTGAGAGAATGAAAACGTGAACATTGACAGTGATGAGAGATTCAGAGGCGCGAGAGAGAAGAGAAAGTTTGTTTTAGTCTTTAGAGTTGGGTGGCGTTAATGGGTTAGGCAGGGACTTAGGGTTTAGCTTTGAAAAAAAAACGGGTACCGACGGGCACCCGCAGGTTTACCCGTGTAACCTGTCAAAAAACGGGTTGGGCCGGGTACGAATAGAACTTAAACGGGTTCAACATATTAAACCTATGCCCTATATTTTTTACCCGGGTACGGGCCGACCCGCAGGTCTAGACCCATTTTGTCAGGTCTCGTTAGGACCAAGGAGGTTCGTCTTCTTTTGGAAGATTATCGACCAAATTACAATGTTTTTGAAAACTAACAAATAAAGTACACAAAATTCGGAAAACCCTAATCAATAACTAGTGTTATTTGGTTTTATTTAAGGGTATTAAAATAATTTTATGCCCTTACTCAATTTTATTTTGGAGTATTTATTAAATGGATAAATATTACTATAAAAAAATTAAAAAAAAAAAAATAGAAAAGCCTGGATTGCTGGCAATATAGCCAAGTGTGGCAATCAGGCTAGCCTTGAATTTAGCCTAGGTTAGCCGGATTGAGGCCACGCGATGACTTGGCCTAGCCTCGATTTGGTCCATTCAAAGTCAATGACGTTGGCATTATCATTGGCCGTTAGTTGCACCGCTAACTTATTTTGTTTTTATATTAAATTTTAATATTTTAAAATTTTTTAAACTATAAAAAATACTCAAATGGGATAATCAATCATCATTTTACTTTATTGTGGTGAGACTGTCTAATTAAACAAAGATACCTATTATTAAGTTTGAAAGCCACATTTTATAATGATATTTGTTAATGAATGATAATGGATAAATTATTTTATAGTGATAGTTGTTAATGAATGATAGTAAACAAATTATTTTTTAATTATAGTGATAAAAAAATCAAAGAAAGAATTTTATAAATATATGACCACACATGTCATTATAACATTGGAGAGTCTCGAATAGGCTTGCAATCGAACCGAGCTGTTTCCAAACAATTCAAGCTCGGCTCGCCTAAAGTTTGTGTTAGGCTTGAAATCTGTCGAATCGAACTCGAACTCGAACAGTTTGAGTAATGTTCGAATCGAGTATCAAATATGGTAGTACTTGGCTTGAAAGTTCGCAAACAGTTGAAAATTCACGAATAGTTAACGAGTTTTTGAGCTCTTAGGCTTGCGAACAGTTCGAGCTCGGTGGGACATTGAACGAGCTTTCGAGCTCGCAAACAGTTTAAAATCCGCGAGCCTTAACGAGCTTTCGAGCTCCAAGGCTCGTGAACAGTAGAACAGTTCGAGCTCGGCGGGACATTGAACGAGCTTTCGAGCTCTAAAGTTCGCAAACAGTTTAAAATTCGCGAGCCTTAACGAGCTTTCGAGCTCCAAGGCTCGTGAACAGTAGAATACGTATTGATGATGTATATTGATTATATATTTATATATATTAATTGCCTCTTTAAGATTATTTCAAAAACTTTGATATTTATTTTTAAAAAATTTACTCTCATTTTAAATAATACTGAAAAATACCATTGATTTGTCTGAAAATTTTAAAAAATTCCATTAGTCCATTATATATTTATTCATTATAATTTATAAATACAACAAATTATAATAATAGTACTTAGTAACTTTAGCCTTCAGTTATGTTATGTACATTAAGGAAAAAATAAATACATATACATTAAGGAGAAAAAGTTTAGAAATTGATAAAAACACCCCCACCCATCCACATTTGCCAGATTCTGACCACCATCGTCGGAAGGTGGCCAGAATCTACTGTAATGGCATACGATCGGCTAGATTTGACCGATCCTGCATCGATATTAGGGGTGGATGGGTCCGAGTACCCGCCCAAAATTATCGGAACCAGAACTGGAATCGGAACTGGTCGGTTCCTTTGATTTGGAACCAAAACCAGAACCATCGATTTCGGTTCCTAAAACCTAGAACCGGAACCTGTGTTATAGGCTCTGGTTCTGGGTACCTAGGAAAATATCAACTACCCCCTATTTTTTAAAAATGACAAATAAACCCTTATAAAATTACAATTACACCCCTAATAGTTTTATGAAATGATAAATACACCCTGCAGACTTTACAAAAATTACAACTATTTCAATATTCATTTCATCCTCCCAAAATTAAAATTACATAACACATTAAATTACACAATAACATAACATAATAAGTTAATAACATATCAAGTTTCATCCTCCCAAAATTATATTTTGATATATGCTCACATGATGTTAACTGTATTATTATTTAAATATTTTTTATGCAATACAATTTAAACGATGTTTTAACTTTTTAAACTTAAATATAAGTACCAAGTTGAATTAAAATGTTCCATCGAAGAATATAATAGGCTAAATAGAGATTCTAAAGTGAAAAAGTATTAACACATGACATAAGTATAAAAAAAGTTATTTAATTGGACATATGGGTAATTGGTGCTACTAAATAATGATAATATTATCAAAATAATTTAAACAAATTATTCATACATTTTTTATCAAGTAAAAGGTAAAAAAAGAATTTAATTTCTTAATTTACTTAAGTGGCATTTGATAATTTATTTGACGACTGAATATGTCTAACTATTGGATAGGCCTAACACTTAAGTGCAAAACATTAAATAATATGTTTGTTTATATTTACTTGATGCTTGATTATAAGTATTTAATTGTTTGTTTTCATCGATAATAAACATTTAAAAGCTATTATTTAATTTAAATGTCTTAATATGTATTAGTTTCTTAATCAAATAATAAGTTAAATTTAAATATTAATAAAAATATTTTGAAAAACTGATTTTTAATGAAAATTAATAAGACTTTTGATACTAAGATAAAAAAAACCAAAATTTTCTTATATATTTATTGACATGTAAAATATTAAAAAACCCCTTCACATGCAAAATATCCAAAACCCCCTATTCTTTAATATTATCTCAATTTAGTCCCAATTCTTGGTTTCGGTTCCTTTGATTTGGAACCGAAACAAGAACTGACCCTATTACGGTTGGTTCTGAGTAGGAACCAGATTCGACACTCGGGTACTCGTCAGTTCTAGTTCTACCTTAAAATTTTGCCCACCGCTAGTTGATATGACCTTTTATGGCTAAATTTACGATAGATCTGACCGAAAAAGGCTAGATCAGCGTACTATCAGCTAGATCCAGCAGGCAATGCGTCATTACGCCAAATTTCGACCACCTTCCAACGATAGTGGCTGGAATCTGACAAATATGAGTAGGTGGGGATGTTTTTATTAATTTTTAAATTTTGTTTTTGTTAGGGGTGTTTAGTTAAATTTACAAACCTAAGGAGTTTGAAAACGATTGAATTGAATTTTCATAATAGGGAACAAGTATATATTTTGGGTAGGATAGGGTTTAGGGTAATAAAACAGAGAAACTTATCCATCTAAAGGTGTAATATTTTCCACACGCCGCCGGCCGCCAAAATTAACCTTAACATTCAATAGTCAAAATTGCCGTCCGGTGACTTTTGTATATAAGTATCTGGAGATAGGACTAGGCAAGTAGGCAACTCACTAACAGAAGCAGCAAAATTATAAATGGCAACACAAGTGAAGCTTTTGGGATTCTGGTGCAGCCCCTTTTCGTTTCGAGTAGAATGGGCCTTGAAGCTGAAGGGTGTTGATTACGACTACATTGAAGAAGATATCTTTAACAAGAGCTCCACGCTACTGGAACTGAATCCAGTTCATAAGAAGGTTCCTGTGCTTGTTCATGATAACAAAGTCATCTCTGAGTCTTTTGTTATTCTTGAGTATGTCGATGAGACTTGGGAACAAAATCCATTGCTGCCTAAAGATCCTTATGAAAGAGCCACAGCACGTTTCTGGGCAAAATTTGCTGAAGAGAAGGTAACTATTCTATTCATTCGTCTTGTTGTTAATTTTACAACTCTTTTGCAGTTGAAATTTTCTTTAGATTAGAAGAAAAATTAGCCAAGATCTCTAAACGAATTCGTTTTATAACTTGAAAATTTTATGAGATTAGAGTATCTTCAGAGCAAACGTTGCAGTTAACCAGAAAATTTACCCCATTATCTTTAGAAGAAGCTACTGCAACCTTATCTGGTTTCCTCTGTTACACTGCCCTTTGGCCCACTGTCTTCTTTTGTTTGTTGTGTCTTTGCTTTCTCATTCACCAACAACACCTGTGAATTGTAAAAAATGTATGGAGCTCGCGATTGTTATTATAGAATCACATGTATTTTATATATTGAATCTAGTTTCTATTAATTCAGATTTTAGATAATCCAGTTTGTAAGTTTCTGTTTTACTTTCTCTGCATAATTTATCTCTTCGAGATGCTGTAGAATTGGAGAAGAGTTGGTGGCGAAGCATTATTCCTGAATAGATTAATTTTAATGAATTTTTATTCACCTAGTTTTTCATCGCCTATTTGATTTTGCCCATGTTTCTGTTAATTTCTAGCACGCTAAGGAATACATCTCATCGAAATTGAATAAATAATTTTAAGAAATGATCCATCATCCGTATATAACTTTATGACCGTTCTGTTATGGTTGGTTTAGCTTTTGGATGCTGCATGGACTGCAATGTGGTCCAAAGGAGAGACAAAAGAGAAGGCATTGAAAGACTCAATAGAAGCATTGGAAAAGATAGAGGGAGAGTTCAAAGAAAAGAGGCATTTTGAAGGAGAGAGCATTGGGTATTTGGATTTGGCAGTTGGATGGATTGCTTACTGGCTACCCGTCTGGGAAGAAGTTGGGTCTATGCAGATTTTTAGCCAGGAGAAATTTCCAGCCATTACCGGTTGGATGGCTAAGTTTCTCAGCCACCCACTCATCAAAGACAACCTACCACCCAAAGACAAGATGCATGTTTACTTCGAGGGGCGCAGGGATCCCATATATAACTACTTCAATCCAAAGCCAGAGGATAATTAATGCTCAAATCAAGCTTGGAATGTAATAAAAAATTTATTTAGAGAAAGTGTTATTTTTATGCTGAAAGTCTTGAATTGGTAATGAAAGAAATGGAGGCTGTACTTATAACTAAATGCTATATATCTACTGTTTTCATCGTATCCTGTGGTTCATGTCCCATAAGTAATCTAGCATCAACTTTAGCTTCAATATCAAATATATCAATCTAAATTTGTGTTATCATATATATTTATTTTTAAAATTACAGTTATAGGATAATTAGATGGAACATTTTTCAAAGGTAGAGCTTATTAACAACCAATTTATGTCTTCATGACAGGGCTTCTAGCGGTGTGGCTTTTTCTTTGGCGCATGTTTTATTGTTGCAATGTTGTCCTTTCTCAGCCTGTTTACTTGGGGCCTCTTGCTCTAATTAGCCTTTTGGGCTTTGCATTCCGTGACAGCTTGTCTCATTGACTTGTGTTGATCATATTGTATGGAAAACCTTTTTTTTTTTTTTTGGGGTAATTGGGGTATCTAGATTAGCTTGTGCACACTTCAACTAATTTTCGAAGTCCATTGAACACCTTTCAAGCTTAAAGAACTAAGGAAGTTATAATGTTATTGTGACAGGTGATCCCAAGATTTGAACCTAGGAATTTAAGGAAGGGAGCAAACCTCCTTGACTCCCAAGCCAACCCCTTGGGGTTGTATGTAAAACTTTTGCTCTCTTATAAATTTGTTGTATTGCATCATGTTAAGGAAGATTTTTTCTATGAAGAGAATATTTTCTAAAATGAAAAGTAAAAATTATAGAACAAACTGCTGGCAAGACTAGATAAATCATCATAGATAAAACATTTATTTTGATTGTTTAAGAAAATATTGTTTCTTTATTGAACTCGGCCATAAAACTTAGGAACGCTCTCCGGCAGTCTAGTCCTTCAACCCCATTTGTATTAAGGGCTTTATTTCTTAACCTCTACATACATAGTCATCCATACAGATGTATTTTGTTTACAATCATACACTTAGGGTGTGTTTGGTTAGGGGTAATCCCTTATTATTGAGGTAATGTCATCTTATATTACTTGATTACCACGTTTGGTTGTCAAGTACTATAGGATTTCGGTAATCTTCCAAAATCAATACTAATTACTATTAGTAATATAGAAGATAATCTGATTACCCCTATTTTCTTTGGTATTTTATGATTACTTGGTAATCTTTATTTTGTTACAATTTTATCCTTTATTAATAAAATTTTAGGACAATATTGCCCTTGTTTTAAAAATAATTTATAAAACTACTAATGAACTATTTTATCCTTAGATATAAAATTTTTAGGACATAAATACCCCTGGACTTTAAAAAAATTACCCAGACCATCGTCGGTAGCCGGCGTTAGAATAGCGCACAACTGACTAGATATGACCGGCCGTGCATCAATCTGACTGAAAACGATTAGATCTATTATGGCCATTTTCGACCAGATCTATAGCTTTTGGCTATTAATGACCAGATAGATCTAGCCATAGATTTGGCAATTTCCTGCGAAATCCATGATGGATCTTGTCAGAAATGATCATATCGGTGCACGACCGACCAAATCTGGCCAGTTGTGTGCCATTCCAACCACTGCCGTCGTCGTTGTCGTCAATGGTGACAGGCGATTGGCAGAGGCTTGGGGTGGATAGTTTTTTTTTTTTTTTTTTTTTTTTTTTTTTTTGAATTTTTTAACACTTTTTTTGGTTGCTAGGGTGTTTTAGCTAAATCTGAAATGTAGGGGGTTAAAAGAATTATCAAAAATAATAATAAAAAATATTTTATTAATATTTAAAAGAAGGGTAATTTAGTAAATTATAAAAATACCCGCCAATTTATTCCTCCCAACCAAACATATTAATCTAACATACCCACCAAACACATTTCCCTAAACATTCCCAATAATCTCAAGGTATCTATTTTTCCATTAATATAATATCCTTACAACATTCCTTGAACCAAATACACCTTAGGGCTTAGCTCAGTGTCTCTCGCCTCTCCTCCCTTCGCCTCTCTCTCTCTCTCTTCTCAGCTTCTCTCTCTCTCTCTCTCTCTCTCTCTCTCTCTCTCTCTCTCTCTCTCGCTCGCTATGAACTTGACCTTGGAGCGAAAATTGTCATCTCAGACCTACTCTCTTTCAATCTCCACGCATCTTCCTTGGATATATCAAACGAGTTCCTCATAACATCCAATAGTAGCACTCTAAACACTGAGACACGTCCAGCTAGCTGGCTAGTCTAGGTGAGTCCATTGGTCTTGAATGATTCCCACTCGAATCTATTGCTGCTTGCTCTCTTCACCACTACAAAGTTCTGTGGAACAACCACAAGTTGACCCTCACGAATTTCCTCATCGAATATAGATTCTCCAATGCCCTTTGAAAATCTTGTTAACATTCTTTATACAAACCTGCACCATCTTCTTTAAGAATTTTAAAAGTATAGAAATGACTTGTGCTCCAAGTACTAGGGCTCCATTTGGTACACTCTTTAAAATACTATTCTGGTTTTCCCAATAAAGTTAAACCCCAAAATGCATTTGTTTCAATATTCCCAAAATCCTATTCTATTTTATTCATCTCACAAAACATTAATAATTACATTTCTCGTAAAGATAACCTGATTTTACTTTTTCCAAAATACTATTCTAAAAATCATCTAATAACGAACCAAATGAAGCATAGATCATTCATTACTTTCCCAGTCAAAATTTGCTTTTGGCTCTTGTTTTATATAATTTTTAAAGACAGATGATTTATGTGCATAAGTGTACAACAATAGCTCTGGCACCTTACCAACAGAAGCAAGAAAAGTATGGCAAAAGAAGTGAAGCTCTTGGGGTTTTGGGCTCGCCCATATGTGTATAGAGTAAAATGGGCACTAAAGCTAAAAGGTGTTGATTATGAGTACTTAGAAGAAGATATCTTTAACAAGAGCACAAGGCTCCTGAAGTTGAACCCAATCTACAAGAAGGTTCTTGTGTGTTATGTGTGAATTTTGCTATAAGCTCAAAAATGTCAATAGCTCGAAAAAACTTGACAGGCTATTCACAAGTGTACAAAATCGTGCAAGTAATAAAGCTCAAGTAAACGAGTGTCGAATCCCAAGAGAACTACCTACCAAGTACCAAACTAGTCTATTTTATTGCTATTTGACGAAACAAAATTTTATGAATGAATTTAATGAAAACGAAAACAAATTAAAAACTAAACAAAACCAGAATTTTATAAATAATTTGGTATAAAAATCAATATGGCTAAACCCTAGGGCACAGATTTCACACCAATTTAATCCTATGTATTGACGATCATTACTAACCTAATTAACCTTATTCTAAAGGCCAAACTCCCTAATATTCCCCTAATTTTCTCTCGAACAATTAGTGAATTAACCCTTAAACAACAACCCAAAATATCTCTAAGTTGGATTTAGAAGCTAAGAGATCATTAAGTTCTATGGAATTTACCAGAGCCTCATAGATCGCGATAACCTATCTCTAGCATTCGCTCAATCTATGGTTTTATTACCTTAGACAAATCAGGTTTCATCTCTCGATCTCAACCCAACCCATGATATCATTCAACCCTTGGATCCTTAAGAATTGAAAGCATTACACACAATAATAAAACTTAGAATTAATGCTCAATAAGAAATCAATAAAGATAGCGTCAACACATATTCATAAATTGGGCTACATCTTTATCCCTAGAAAAGAGATTTAGTTCATAGTTACAATAATAAAACCATCATTCTATTCAACAACATGAGTTCAAGAAAGAAAAATATAAACACTTCTCTAATTGGTGAATGAGAGCTTCAAGAATCCCGATCTCCAAACTAGTAGTCGTCCTCTTCTTTCTCTCCAAAAACTCCTTTAAAACTTCTTAAAGACCTTTATTTATAGTCCTAGGGTTTTGATCTTACTTAGGAAAATAGTAAATGCCTTAGCCCATTCAGGTTCGGATTAGGATAATGCATTAACCTAACAAGCCCGTGACCCATCGCCGCAGCGGTAAGAATAGTTGCTGCGACGATCATTCTTTATGTCCAAGGCATCCGTGATCTTTAGAATTTGGTAAAGTCATCAGCATAAGCTTTGTAGCTCTCTGAATAAGCTTTCCAACGCCACTAGAATCGTCAAATTCCAATTTCTACAGCTCAAGTTATGACAGAAACATCGAAGCATGCTCATCTTGAAGGATTTCCAGATTTTACGTTATATCTTCGAAACGTCAAAACTTTCTCGTTTCAACTCCGATTCTTGTACCGTTTGTTCCTATGCGTCATGAATTCCATCGACATCATTCTTTTCCTTTTAAATATCTGTTTGACCCTGAAAACACTCAAAATACACCCGTGACCCCATAAAAGGCATTTATGAAAGAATTAATTGAAATTCCACAATTTAAACATATTTTTCCATAAATAATCCAGTTACATCGCTAATAAAATATAAACTTTCAAGCTCTTATCACAACCCCCAACCAACTTTTTGCTAGTCCCTAGAAAACTAAGCAATAAAATAAGTCTCTAAGCTTGAAAATAAAACAACCAATTAAAAACCTATATCTAAACTATCCTAAATCACTTTCGTAGATTGACACGATTGCATTTAGCGTATGCAACAAGCCTTTAAACCCCTAGGCGGCCCTAGATGGACAAGTTGTAGTCTCGTGAGGGTTTCCAGTGACGATACCCACAAACATCCACACTAAACTTATCCTAAAATCCAAAAACAAAGATAAACATAAATATAAAAAGAACAAAAACTAACAAAAATTCTTGGATCAATTCATAGACGCATATACATAAAACAACTAGAATAATTAAAAATCACCTAAACTCATAGACAATGCAAACATCAATTTCATTTTTGTTATTGACCCTAGAACATTCATACAACCACAAAGCATTAGTCTACAAACTCGGATAGTTGTATGCATAACATTCATGAACAAGATTTTGATCTCAGTATTCGGGTTATGACTTATATGTGAATCATGGAATCAAACTCCGTAGGCTCACTTTTCAAACCACTCTCCACTAATGTAGAATTTCACATTACCTTCGATCAATAGGTCTTTGTAAAGATTGTAATGTTAGGTTAGGGTATGAGT